ACGTTTTCAAAACACTATAATAAAGTTCTCTTTCATTAAACATTTTCTAAGATATTTTAAATTTTATCATGATACTTTTAATATAAAATATATATATATATGAAATATTTTGATGATTTTTATCTTAATACTTTTATACGTAGAATAATTTAAAAAAAAAACAAATAATAATATTTATTTTTACATTTACAATTTTGCAAAATTAAATATGTCTACAAAATACAATCTAAATTTTTTTTACAAAAATTGATTTTTTTCATTATTCTACGTATCCTACAACTTCCCGAGTAGAAATTGATCTAGCCAATCTGATTTTATAGCTAAAGGCTGGATCATGCAGGCTAGATATGTTACCTAGCCATTGACTAGTTTACTACCAGCTATAATTTATGAATAATTCTTTGCTGTCTAGTACTTTTCTAGCCCCTGCACGGTAAATGTTAGAATAGATGGCGCTGAAAACTTTCAAAAAATTAGCCAGCCATTGTCTAGCCACTATTATACCAATTAAAAGTTTGTTAGCATTCGAACAGTTATGTCATTCTTGAGTAGTTTTTTCCTAACTATCATTCTATCATATATTAGAAATATGATTTTGAGAATTATTAAATCTTCGGCAATCTTTTCTGAACGATATTTTTACATAGAGTTTAAATTTTAATTGTTTAACATATTCGTAATTATATAAACAGTATTGAGCATTTAAGGTATTAAATATTCTTTAGCAATTTAAAAAAAATTCAGGTTTATATTTTATATTACGTTATAATATATAAGGAGAATTTAAACTGAATTATTACTAATACTTGATAGCGTAGTGGACAGAGTGAACGACTGTCACCCATCAGCAGCGGTGTCCGACAACACTACGAAGTTCGCGAATCCCTTTGGTAAATGGAAATTTTAAATTACAAAATTTAATATAATGTTGTAGCAAAACTTTATCTAGCAAAAATGTAACAAAAAAAAAAATTAAAAATTAATTTTTCTATATATTTTTTTAATCTTGCCCAGGCTAGCTGATTATTACTAGACAGTTTTTTTAAGGTCGCTATGAGACAATATATTTGTCGAATATCTAGAACTTCTAAGCGTTACATTACTGATGGACAGGGGCAATATAAGACTAGTATTGGCTAGTTGATGACTGGATGCCGGCGAGGTTAAATTTCCACTCGGGATTTTGTCTGAAACGTTTTTTCACATCTAAAGCCAATTCTGAGAACCAGAGGGCTGGGTCAGACTTTAAAGACACCCTATATAACACAAAATAAGACTTACAGTTATGCGCTTGCGCAATAATAAGTTGTCTGCAACACTATTGTAAGCGTTTACGAAAAGAACTAAATTTGCAATATATGTAGATTGAAGTATATGGAAGAATGTGCTATTTGAACTTTCAAATGTCATTGTCATTAGATTTCCGTCATTTCCTGTACGCCTAAAAGATCCACGGTGCGGTCTCGCTTTGTATATATATTTGACGTGTATCGAAGACTGTGCTATACGATACTGTGACTTTTATGTTGTGTTTCTTGTGTTAATAAAATTTCTTGTGTGTATTGTGTTAATAAAAATTAAATTAATTTAATTTGGATTTATTGATGTAAATTCTCAACCGTTGTCTCTTGCATTGCTCTTTATTATTTGCCCTGTTCCAACTGTAGATTGTCTTCTATGAAACAGAGTAAGTTCTATTTAAAATATTTTTTCAAACAACAAATAGTTCGGAAGATAATTGCGTGAAAAGATTAAAATGACACCCTACATCTGTATATGTACATATTGTCAGTGAATAAACAATATCGCCTATATGATATTTTTCTGCAAATGCACTTTTTGACTTTGATTTTTTCGTATCACCATTCTACAAAGTTTAGGTTGACTAAGTTTTTGGCCACATATTATTTACAGATAAGTTTTAATATTTATTAAATAAGTTACATATAGATATTTGTTGCATATTTCATTTTTGGAATAATTCTTTGTATCTTCTGAAAACTTTACTAATTGTCACATAAGCGAAATTGTTTATTTATTGACGATATATATTGAAAGAACGCTTAAGATGTTTTATAGTCATCTTGAGTAATTAAATTTACGAAAATTATGGAAAAATCCATGCGATTAATACTTCGAATATTGCGCAAATTGTTTATCACTTCTTTCTATCATTTCCGTTGATTATCAATTTAAAATTTATTCATTTTAGTTGTAAAGCCTTCTCTCTCTCTCTCTCTCTCTCTCCCCTCCTGCTTCCCTCTCTCTCTTTCGCCGTTTCTCGACATTTTCCACCTTATAATTGCACTGATTGCACATCATTTCCTGGTTCTAGCATAGTGCATAAATAGTTATAGACATTTATATCAACGTTATCTGCAATTTTATAGACGTAATAAAAACGACAACGATTTGAAATGTTTCAATATCTTTGTTTTGCGTTGTGATGCTAAGTTGTTATAATATTGCTCATATTTGCTTTGTTTCAAAAATAAGATTTTAAGAAGATGATGACAATGGATCCAGCCAAGTCGATCCCTGCATTTTACACCGGACAAAGTATACTTTTAACAGGTGCGACAGGATTTTTGGGTAAAGTGTTTATCGAAAAAGTATTGCGGTCTTGTCCAGATGTTCGTGAAATATTTCTGTTAATACGTTCAAAAAAAGGATTAAATATTAACGAAAGACTCGAAAAAATTTTAAACATGCCGGTAAGTTTGATATAAAAAAAGAAACTTTATAACGCACTTTATTAATTAAAATTTTTAAGATCTTTAATACAATATATTACGTCACATTTAAACGTATGATAAAAAGAATATTTTTTTAAACGTTGTAGTAACGTCATTATTAGTTGTTTTTGACATTAACACTTTGTAAATAGTATGTAATAAAGTATAGAAATGCATTTAAAATAAAATGTTCTTAAATGCTATTATAATTTTTATCATTCTATTGTAATTTAATAATCGAGATTAAAATTGTAATTTGTTGAAAATATCTTGGAAATTATTGCAATTATCATAATAAATCGATTTTATAAATTATAACGTTCTTCTATTTTAGTTATTTGACAAATTGCGCGAAGAACGACTTCTTAATTTTAAAAAATTAGTTCCGATTTCTGGCGATATCAGAGAGAAGGGATTAGGTTTGTCGGCAGCAGACAGACAAATGTTGATTGAAAGAGTGTCTATAATAATACATGGAGCGGCAAGTGTAAGATTTAATGACACTTTAAAAAACGCCATATTTGCCAATACTAGAGCAACGAGAGATATTTGCATTTTAGCTCAAAGTATGAAAAATTTAAGAGTAAGTAATTTTTATTCAAAAAAGAAAATAACAGAGAGTGTAGATTTGTATTTATGAATAATGTATTGTATCACATGGTATACTTTAGATAATGTCTTGCGCAACAATTCATATGTTAATCATTTCTTCTAAGTACTTATTATAGTGTATTCTTTAAGTTTA